TGTCTACTTCCTCTACTACTTCCCCAGTCGAGGTAACATTTTAAACTTTGAAGGTGCCAAGCGCATACCGAACATGGACACACTAGCACTCAAACTATCCCGAAGAGCTTGCAACTTACCTGGATCTTCACTTATTAGCACAATGTCGTCTGCGTAGTGTAGACCAGACGGTCTGCCACCTGGAAGTAAATCGATGCCGCTATTCTCGCACGAGGATAGGGCTGTTTCAAGAATTGATTCTATCACGAAGTTAAATAGAAGAGAGAGAGCAAACCTGTCGAATGTCACGTAGACTGAAGTTGCAAAGGGGTTGAGAAGATTCACAAGCACCATTGTTGAGAACATTTACCCATATCACTCGGGTCTTAGGTCGGCCGCCTTTAACCTTCTTCCTGGCTCGGAAGACATCTCACACCTTAGTCAATCTACTTGGTGGCGTGCGTAGCACATGCCCTAACCACAGTAGTCTATAGAGGTTGAAACCTTGCTTTAGTGGGCGACCGTGACCGTCCAAAACTCTTAAACTAATATGAGTATTGCTTGCTCGGTTGCAACACCAGATTCGTGCACTGTGGCGTAGGTATCGGTGTCCGAATATCGATAATATGCCCTTGTCTTTCTCCAGTTTCCATGCCAACAGCATTACTAGCAGCACTACTGCAGTATGTACTCGACCCTTCACCAACTGGGAAGAGGACGAAAAGCCAACATCCGAGGTTATACCCGGGTCGGTGAACCACTGGCAGTTTATCTATGGGATTAGGCTAAAAATCCTGATTCCAAACCAACCAAGAAGAAGCGTATGAACCACACTCGCCCATACCTTCCTCGTCGTGGTAGTGATCATCGGCTTAATTGGGCATCCAGGTGTATTAGGCACCTTCGACGTTTGACTCCGTTCGAAGAGCGTATGATCCAATGGGCTAGACGCCGTCCCCCAATGGATTGTGCTTTTCACACTGCCTCGTCGCCTTTCGAGTCAGGCTTTGGCCTGGGCAACCTGGCATCGTCGCACTCATAAATAAATGGGGATTTCCTTGTTTATGAGGATCATTGCAATGTGGTTTGTTTAGTACACAGTCTGAACTCAAACGTGCGTGAAACTATACACATATATACACTATACTACATATACTATATTGCTCATCGATTGTAGGCTGCATTTGTTTTCCCATAGTTCCATTTTATAATTTGCAGTGGACTCATGCATTTTGCTCTCCAATTGTTTCTTCTTCAGCCCCTGGGGAGACAATCGAAATCGCAGAGCAAGAGGCCGCACGCCAATCTTTGCGAAATTTGTTTGGGCTAGCAGATCATCGCCCTCCG